ATTTGAGATATCAAAAAAGTACTCCAGAGTGTTGTTCAGCATGGGGGTGAGTAGAAAATGAAGGCTAATCATGTTTTGGGTGTACTATTCCTTTAATCCATTGTTTGTAAATGTAAAGAATATGGATCCCCTTTCAAGTCCTGCCAAGTGAACATCTGAGTAGTAGCGTTGCATTTTATACATTTTTTACAGTACATAAATTTTTTTTCTTTTGTTGCAAGAAGTCAACAAAATTATAAAATAATATTTTCCATTTATTTTATTTACAATTTTAATTTACTGAAAACCTCACTTTTAATGAGCTGTAAGCTATAATAACCCGAAAAATGCTTGAAATAAATCCCTCTGTGCTTCAGCTATAGTACTTTGTCGTTTTAGAATTAACTTATTGAAATAAGTTCTCTTTTCCATTATTTCTCTAATAGCTTCATCTATTTTCGCAGGGATATGAGGACAAACGTCTTTAAAAGTGCAAACCTGGTGGAGAAATACTCTAAAAGTCATGTAGCTGAAATGAGAAAATAAAGCTGTTAAGATTAACGACCAAGATAGGAGCAATAAAAAGCATCACATTAACATTTAGCATTCTTTGCTGAGGAGGGAGGAATAAAAACTCTAGGAACACAAATTCAAACTACACCAATGGTGGCACCAAGGACCCAACTCTGTCATGCTGTCATATGTTAAGAGACAAAATGTATTAAATCTACAGTTATGCTCATTAAACCCAATGACGACACAGGGAGTGGATGTGAATGTCTACCTACCAGAGTGGAGTTAATCAGGCGGTCAGCGATAATCGTGTGTCCAGCTATGCAGCAGAGGTAACACAGCAGGTTGAGTTTAGATCGAACAGCTGTAGACTGAGGAAGGGCAGCTGAGGAGGGGACTGGCATGGACGGGGGCTTCTCTTCAAGGCATGAATGAAGTTGTGACAGAAAGCCTTTCCACTCATCGTCACTCAGAGAAAGCAGCTTCTCAACTGTGACGAGGCAAGAGACCAAAGATTTATCTTGTTCTTATATATATTTAACTCTATCTCCATGCAGGCTGCCTGTGGTCATACCTGAATATGCTGGCACGCAGAGGCTTTTGGCATCAAATCGTACAGGAGTGCTTTTCAGAATCTGTTAAAATCACCAGAAGAAATCAGTGTTTGTAACGTCTCACTCTTTGCTGCAGCTTTGTACACACATTTCTTGCTACTCAGTCCACAAAGTAGAAAACTGCAATTGTGTTCAGTAAACGAAAAGACCAAGTAAAATGTTTATACACTAAAAAGATGGAGCATGTGTACTTTGTCTCCTCATCCATACCTTGGGATTGTCAATGATTTGTGTGAAACTCAGATCGGAGTGTGTGTAAAGAAGACGCTTCACACAGGTTGTAACGTCCAGATCAGGGACAACCTGAGTGAATAAAAAACAGCAGGTACAGAAATAAGTGGCTGTACAATGGCGCCACCAGGCCCTCTGACCACCATCAGCAGGCAATGCAGGTAAAGTGTCTTGTCCAAGGACACAGCAACATTAAGATCCAAAGCCGGGCTTGAACCGACGACCTTTCAGCTGCAGGACAAACTCCTGCTTCCAACGCCCCAGTGGGATGCTGTATCAGCAGACACATGCTGTAGATTTGTCTCGTGCTCAGAATGGATACCAGGATAGGCCGGATTTATGGATTTGATTTTACTTTAACTTAATTCTGACCCTAAAATCACAATCATCTGGTCTGACTTTTAAACATTTCAGTGATAGGAGTGTAATGGTACACATTCATACTGAGAAGGCCTGTTTTAGCCCTGTTGATTTGGTATACTGTACACTGAATAAATGCAGTATTGTCTTGTTCCTGAACATGTGCAGCACGCTCCTTTTTAATACAGCATCCCTTAGCACCGCTTTAAAGAGTGACACCAAATGACAACAGAGAAGACCTTCAAATATCACCACATTAACGTTTCTTATGCAGTTAGAGTTAGTTAAAAAGGGTGGACTGAAACCCCAACGTTACGTCAACCTTTTCCAACGATAACTTTGAGTAACTCCCTTTTATACTAAACTTAACAGCTCATATAAAGATGGGATAGGAAATGGTTTTTTTGTCCCACATTAAGAAAATTCAGGCATGATGGAAGCAAAAAAAACAAGTAGACAGAAAACATAAAAAAAAAACTTAACTTAAAAAGAGAAACTTGTAGAGAAACTTAAAAAAAACTTAATACGAAATTATTTTCTTATGATGATATCCAATGACAGATGGAATTAAACTTATCCCTCTCTTGGACCAATATAATATTCCATCTTTACAATTAACTAAAACAATTATTTAGAAATGACACTCAAATAAAAGCTCCAGCTGTGTTGATAGGTTCCAAGTTTTCATCTTTTAGATCAGGAGTCTGCAGCCTTTGTGCTTCACCTACCGTATATTACTAAATGATGCTCTCATTGCCCTGCTTTTTTATTTGTAGTAGAATAAGTGAGCCTAGTGAATTAACAGTGAGTCATAAATAGAAAAATGACTGTTTACCTCCAGCTCTGAGTTCTGGCTTGATGAGATGCTGCATTGACTTCTTGAGCTGCTATGAGCACCACTGCATAAACAGAGATGACAAATAATGAAGTGCAGATGAAGATGAATAAAGACAAAGACTTTTCTAGATAAAATGGTCCGAGATATACAAACTCCATCAGAAGTTTAAATCTGTATTATTGGTAAAAACTTTAATATAAACTTTTCAACAAACCACCTGAGCAGAAAGATTGTCTCAGAGTTGTCCTGATTTAGCCCGCTCTTTGGTTTCAGCTCCAGGACTTCACCTAAAGAAAGGACAAGTATGGATTTTTTTTATACATAACACATTTTTATGTAAGACAAAAAATAAAGGAAGAACTGCCGATATGTTAATCTTGGAATAAACTATTTAAAAATAAACCAGAAACATCATGAATTCTTCACCATGTGATGTCATGAAATGAACTCCTACACCTAGAGTTGAAAGGAAAATAAAACTAAAGACAATCTGCTACCTGTCATATATGATTTAGTGGGCTGTGGGGTGTAGGACAGCTCCTCCACTCCTCTGGGTTCAGGGAGAACTCTAGGCTCTACTTGGCCCTCATCATATGAGCTCTTGCTGGACTTTAACCTTCCAGCGTATGCATCAGGTGTAACAGACTGCTGGCTTTCAGCTCCTGTGTCTGCTGCTGCAGGAAAGGGTTTTGTTTTCTTTGATTCACCCCCACCTGGCTGGCTAATAGCTGAGTGGCTACTGCCCAGACTGACTGTCTGTTCTGCAGGAAATGGGCCACATGTCTTTCTATGTCTGTAGAAAAGAAAAATACATGAAAAAATGGATTAAGTCACCCCAACATACTAGTCACGACCTTATAAGCTGAATAACATGTTACTACTTCAACGTTCAAAAAATGTTAAAAGAAAAGAAAGAAAATACATCTACTCATCCAACAGTAAGGGAGTCTGTTTGTTGCTACCTATCAGCATCTTCATCCTCTTTCCCCCCATGTTTTGCATCATCTTCCTCCTCTTTTACTGGTGTCCAGAAGGGATGATAAACCAGCTCTGACCAGCTGATCCTAATGAAGAAAAACGATTTAACATCAGCAGCCCAACAAGAACAACACAAACTTGGAGGCAAATAGCCTCAGTCTGAACCCACTGAAGCTGCATCCCTCTTTCCAACAACCCAATCAAATCCATTCTTTATTTCCAGACATCTGCAAAGCTACACGGCATGCTAATGATGAGAGGATTAAGCCGTTTTGGTGCAAAGATCCATCTGAAGTTTATAGGGGATTCTAGCAGAACTGGTATCAGCTATCACCAACCATGAGAAAACAACACTGCAGCAACACTTGATCTTCAGTTGGAGGTAAATTAAACTACAAGCAATCTGAAGATATTCAAAACGACTGCAGACTATTAGGATGATGGTTCTGTAATCACAGTTCATGGAGGGACTTGTGTGTTTGAGTCTTACCTCTTGGTTGGGTCTTTGTTTAACAAGCCTTTCAGAAGATTCTGGAATTCCTGACTGGGAGGATTTGGGTTAAATGCTGGAAAAAAAGTAACATATTCTAACTCAATGAATTACACACAATTGGACACAATATTATTCCCACCCCTGACAGATTAAGGTTTAAAGAATCTTTTAATTTTTCCTAAATGTTTCCACCGGCTAAAATTAACAATACATTTCCAAGATACAAGCAGAAACCTGCACCTCTCTGTCAGTACTTACACAAAGGACGAGTATGTGTAATGTCTTTCCACTGATTATGGAAAATAGTATAAATAATTTGTGACCTGTGTTTTTTTGCATGTAAATATAAATTAAACAAATGTTCATCTATTTAAACCATTCCCTATAAAAAAAAATAACTTCAACCTAAGTCTTTCACAGGGTATAAAATAAATGGCTGAACTGTAAAGCTGAAAAATGACCAACTTGTCAGAGTAAAAAGTAGAGAGTAAATATTTAGGTACTATGTTGCACATGTGTTCATTTAAAGTTTATTACCTGTCTGTTTTAGAGGTGGGGGTTCCTGCTGTAAAATCATCTCTGTCAGGTGAGTGTTGTCATCAGAACAGAAAGGAGGCTTACCTGGGAAGCAAGTACAGTCAGGATAGGGGAACAACAACCCAATGCCAAAAAATGCTGGAATATTATGTAAAAATGTACAGAAAACCTGAATTCAATGGTTGAGATCTAATGCAGCCATATCTGATTGGCCTAGCCCTTTAGACTGTCAGGGATGATAACCAATGGGCTGCAGTAGCCTGAGGTAAGGGCCGGATGATCGGAACAGACTCTTGCGCTGCTGATTTTATTTTTCTTCATGCATTATGTGTCATGATCTGGTCTGTTTGCTCACCCTTAATTAGTAATTCGTCTCACCTGCCCTCTTCCTTCCCTGCCTCAATCATAATTTATTCCTCTCACCTGTTTCCTGTGGTTTATATTCAGTTCAGCCTGAGCATTCAGTGCCAGATCACTGCTTGTCTTTCTGTCAGTCTTTCTGTTCAGTTTTTATTTGGTTCATGTCCTGGATCCTAGCCAGTGGAAAGAGGGTTTTAGTGTTTGTCTCGTCTCCTGATCGTCCACTGTTCCTCCCCTGCGGAGTCCCCTGGGTTTTTGGCTTTTTATGGGGGGGGGGGGGGCAGTTTTTATCAAAGTAAGCCTGGCTCCAGGGTGGAGACCAGTTTAAAGTCTGCTTCAAGTTCCGGTTCCTACGTCCTGTCTCGGCTACCCTCTTCCACTGTGCCTGCCTGTCTGCACCTGATCCTGTCTGCTCCTGTGCGTGACCTACTGGTCATGCTTCTGGTCCCAGTAAGACTCTGAACCCTCCTGGAAGCTTGTGCATGCCTGGAAGTCTGGATCCTGCCACCTGTCTCTGTTCCTGTCTGATCTGGATCCTGCCTGTTTCTGCCTGTTCCTGTCTGTTCTGGATCCCTCACCAGGATCAGCTTCCAGCATAACCTCTGGGACTGCAGCACTGGGGACACTCGTGGTCTGGACTGTTAAACCAGGTAAGTGACCAACCCAGATAATCATACATCAGTTTATCGTGGTCACTTACCTGTGTTTCCTCCCTAGAGTGTCTGAGATTGGGCGGTGCCCCGCCCCCCCGCCTGCAGTGTCCGCGAGCCACAGCTCCGCTTTTGTTTCGTTTTTATTTTAATATATCTTTTGAACTTTCCTACTGACTGTCTCTCCTGAATACTGGGTCCATCTGTCCTCGGTTCATGACATTATGCAAATATAACGAGGCCGATATATAATAATATGATAATAATAATAATAATAATAATAATAATCATTCAGACAGACAGACAGACAGACATACATACATGTCGGGTCTGCCGGCCCAAACAGCACGTCGGCCCACCGGGCAAATGACCGGTATGCCCGATTACCAGTCCATGCCTGTCCCACAGTAGCATGGTGAATTATGCTTGTAGACAGTGATTTCTGGACTTTCTAAGCAAAAGCGGTTATACTTCTGCAGCAGTGTGACGCAGTGAGCTTGTTGCAGATATTTTGATTTATGACCAATTTTGAAGTGTGGTCTGCACTATGTTATTCCACGCCAAAACTCAAGAGGGACAATCACGAACTAGCTGTGGGTCTAGATACGGCCAAGGTGGTGAGGAAGTGGGGGCAGGTTTATCAGACAACAGAGGGACATGAGGGCGAAAAAGAGCGGGGATCCAGGTGGAAAAAGGGTCCCAGCGTTGTTGATTCAGTTTTTCATATTTGTTAACCTCTACCAGTCTTTTATCTCCAAAATGTTCATCCAATCCATGATGCTAATTTTACACCCAATTCTCTTGTTCACCTAAGCTAACCTAATGAGTTGCTCAAACTCTCCACCACCTGTTTTTATTTTGCACAAATTATTTTTCTCTTGGTGAATTCGAAATTGACTTAATTCAATTCAGTTCAAAATTACTTTATTGTCTAGACAAAACCAATTTAAGTGTTGTAAAAACTCCTTTAGTGATTTCTTTAAGCAGTTACTGTAGGCGTTGATAGCAGTAGGCAGGAAGTATCTCCTGTAATGTCTTGAAGAGAAGCCTCTGACTGAAGACACTTTATCGTTCTTATATATCTGAAGAGGATTTTTTTTTTCCAGGTTTTTCCATAATGTTCATTTTATGAAGAAAAAAATTATCTCCAGATGTTCTACTGTAGATCTTGGAACAGAGCCGTATTTCTTACATGCTGAACTTCTTTAAGTCTTCTCTTCTAAGTCTGCTACCCTAACAGACGATGGCAGAAGTGTTCACACTCTCCACAACTGTTGGGATCCTGAGGCTTGCTCTCCAGAGGGCGCCGAGGATCCCCTCCTGTTGTATGTTTTTCTTTTGGGACTTGGGTTACTGGTGGGATCTGGAGATCTGCTACCTGTCTCCAGCAGAGAGCGCTGTGGGTCTCCTGGGCTGGGGCCTCCAGCACACCTGAGGATCATCAGCCCATCAGGGGACCTCCTACATACTGTAAGCAGCAGCCAGACCTGTCTTCCTCGCCAGAGTGTTGACCAGTTTTGGTTAGCAGAACCTGATCCTCAGCCTGCACATAGAATCTCTGTCTGCTCTGGAGAGTAACCAGATTCTAACCAGCCTCTGTCTTCTCTGCTCACAGGAAAGCCCGACTGAAGTCTGTAGCTCTGGAAGAGCTTTGCTTGGAAACCTGCCTGCCTGCCCAGGGAAGCCAAATCTGAAGACAATCAGTCTGGATTCCCCAGCCAGCTCTCAAGGGAGAGCTAGGATACCAACTCAAGGTCTGAACCTCATTAGTCAGAAACTAGACGCTGCTGCTGCTGAGCTCTCTGCTGAACCCACTGTCTCTGGACCCAACCGGTTCCCTCCCTCCATCGATCAATCTGACCCTCATCAAGGTACAAACCAGAATCAAACCCCTGACAAGTCATCACCGCTGCCTGGCTAACCAAACTATCCATCTCTGCAGATACTCAGTGATTCCAGTCCCGGACCAGTACCAGAACCAGCTCATTATCATTCTTGTGTGTTTCTCATTAATAAACTGTTAAACTTCTACTCCGTTTCCTGTGGTGCTCTGCATGTGGGTTTAAACACTAGAGACCCATCATGACAACAACAGACTATTAATATCAACAATATCAATTTTTTATTTTAAACATGTTCTATTCTGAATATAACATGATTTTAACAAATTGGCCGATCATTTTTACCCAAGTTCCTTTTGAAATTGGATTACTTTAAAATCAGAAATTCAGTTTAGTTACAATTGATGAAAAAAAAGCTGACTAGCAAAAGAGAGAATGTATTATACATAGTTTAAAATGAAATAGCCTTACTTTGAATGTGTGAATGTGTCTCTTTGTAAATGTATATGAGTGCGTACCGCTGTACATGTAGTAGAGAACACAACCGAGAGCCCAGAGATCAGAGCTCCTGCTGGTTTCTGATCCCTGCAGAACCTCTGGAGCGCTGTAGGCCAGAGAACCTAGAAGTGACAGAATAACAACCATGCTGTTAGAAAAGCATTGATACATTACTGCCAGCTGTATGCAAGTCTGTAGAAAAACAGGTTCTATCTGTGACTGCATTTTTTAAATTATTTTTTCCTTGGTCTACTTTAAAGTGACCTGTGTCGGTGTTAACCAATAAGAGCGCAGGAAAGCATTCCAAAATGGGCCTGTGCTGCATGTCTTATTGTCCTTACAGTCACATTCAACAGAGGTGGGGAGAAATTAGGTTTACTTTACTTTCCATTTACCCGAGAAAACCTTCAGAAAATAAATCTACTTCTAGGAATAACTTTACAGCATCATACTCTTGCTTCAACTGTAGTAGTATTGTTTTGAATTAAAGTTAATTTATCTTAAGTATAATTTTCTAACCTTCACTGAATAAATAAAACAAAAAACATAGTTTGACTTAAAAAAAGCACCAGACAGGACAAACACTGGTAAGGATAAATTAAGACTTCTTATCCTGTAGTGGAAATATATAAATAGGAAAAGAGATTATATAATATATTCAATGATTTACGCATAAAAAAGTTTATTTTCATTTGTTTTTGTTGGTTTGATAACCTCATTTTCATGAAAAGGACACTTTATTACATGAGGGAAAATACATTAAAGTGGTTCTTATCCTGAGTACAATTTATTGGGGGCTGTATCCATCTCTTCATGCAAAACACTGCATACCATCTTTAGTGATACTGGCAGAGTTCTCTCTATTTTTATATGTTTGATCACTGTTTATTCAGACTTTCTGAAGGCTTTTTTGGGGCTATTGTTCAAATATAATCATTTTCCCCACAGACTTCCAGTGCTGATCTTGGACAGAACCTTTCTAATGGGGTTGTTTTTGGAAGCTCATTTTTGGTTCACTAAAGCAGAGATCCAGGATTAAAAACATTGGCCCATCTTAGTATTTCTAGTGCTCTATGTTCTCACAACACTATCAATGTACCAAATACCATGTTTTAAGCTCTCATTTTGTAGATGCAGTTAAAAAAAATAAAATAACTACTTTTGTGTTTTTTGTTTATTTTTTATATTGCAAGTAGGAAACAGGATTTGGTTGAACATCTATTCTAACTTAATCTGGTTCTAGTCCCAAGTTCAAAAGCCAGTGCATGATATGCTAAGCTACTAGCCATGTTAATAATGATGCATTTCTCTGTATCTTTTCCTTACAACCACAATGCCAACACGTTATCCAAATCTTTGTATGCATATAAACTTTTTAACTGTGTTTTGGATTAAATGCATCCATATGGGGTCGTTTGAGCTCAGGGTAGATGATGGGACCTTAGAGTTGTTGACATGAACTTTAGACATAAGATGATTTTTTTTTTGCTAATGTTACCAAGTTTAAGAAAATTCAAAGATTAACTTAACAAAATTACACCACAAGCTGAGCTATATTTTTATATTTGCGTGATCTCGTCTTTTAGTTTCTGCTGTTTTTTTGTTTTTGTTTTTTTTTTGCAGCACTAGTGGCTCATTAGAGGGTGTGAGAGAGAGGGAAGGACATGCGGCAAAGGACCAAAGGCCGGATTCGAACCCAGGTCACCCGGCCCAGGACTAAGACCTACATTCATGGGTCGTGCCTGCTAACTACTGCACCCCAGCACGCCCTGCTGTCTTGTTTTACTATGGTTTAAATAAAGACTAACTATGATGGTAACTAAAAACTCTGTAAATCTTAAAGAACATTTTTTATTGAAAGAGAACAACTGCTGCAGATACAGCATAGGGCTTTGAGTAAGAGACCTTTGTTTAACTTAAAAGTGAAAGCTCTCAGATGATTATTTATTACAAAAGGAAAAAAAAATCATAAAACTTTACAGTAATCCAGAAAATCATTAATCAAAAGCACATTAACATATCATAAGAAAGGTCCGCTCTTTTTTAGCAAAATATAAGAGAATTATTATTTTACACAGTGCTGTAAAATAGATTTTTTTTTAACCAGGAATCATATCCTTTCTTCTTACATAGTATTTAAAATCCAATTTCCAATCTTAAAGTTTTATATCAGCAGATTCACTTCAATAAGCGTAACAGCGATGTTTAACTCTTACCTTGCACTCTTGTTCTCATGTTCTTACTGCCTCCTCCCTCTGGTTCACCACATGCAGAGAGTGTTGTAAAAATGTCCTCCAGAGTCTCTCCCTCATTCTTGGACAGACAGAAGTCACTAAACTTCAGAATGCCGCTGGCATCCAGAAGAATCTGAAGGGGAGAAAAAAAACAATAACTACTTTAAATAACTATCATATTTTTGTGATGCTTGTTAGTTTTGGATTGAAATAGTTATGCTAACTTTTGCAGGGTTTAAATCAGACAGGATGATTCCCAAACCATGGATGTGTCTTAATCCTTTGACCAAGTCCCATCCAAACCTTCTCACAATATCCTCTGGAAGACTTCTATCTTGAGTAACCACAGACTCCAAGGAACCACCTAACAGGTAAAATAGTTAACACAGAAAAAAAACAGACTTCACTTTATTTTCAACTCCAGGTTTTGACACATCAAGTCTTTATCTGGGAACAAGGATGAAAATACTGACCTGAACAGAGCTCCACGATCACCCACAGGTTCTTACTTGTTTCAAACCATTCATAGAAGCGTACAATATGTGGATGATCCAGATCCTGGCTCAGACGTACCTAATGGGACAGAAACACATCATCATACTCTTTCTCATTAAATACGCTCCTAGTAATCAAAAACTCCTTTTTCTCAACAATTCATGCGTCTGATACAGATTTTCTGCATCATCATAACAGAATGGGATTCATAACTGTCTATTGCATCAGTTCATTATAAGTGACCATGCAATCAGTATTTAAACAGAAAGAGACTTGGTATGGTTAAAAATACATGGTTCGTGATCTCCGGTCTCTGGGTTTTGTCTGTGCAGATGATGGCCACATAGCAGAGGCTGCCCTTTCTTCTTCCTTTATAGAAAACAAAGCCGCCCTCCTTGTCCAGCTCCTCATACAGGATGAAGTTCTCCATCTTCTGTCTGGGAGAAAAAAACGTAAGGTACACTGAGGTATATGCAAAAGCTGAATGTTTGAATTAAACCAACCAATTTAACTTCTCCAGTTCTGATCATAACTGAGTGTTCAGAACTTTACATATACTTCTCAACAGGTTTTAAAATAAATGTTTGTCTTTTAAAGCCATCTAATGTCAGTTACAAGGGTTAAAGCTGGGCAATAAAAAAATAGCAGTGTAGACACCTGACCATTATCCATAGGTAATATGTCTGATTGTTCTATGACTTTGATGAACTCTGATCCAGAACTGCAGAGCATTCTGGGAAATGTAGGCAGAGGAAAAGATTTAGCCTCTCACAGTCAAGCTAAGCCAGGTTGGTGTTGGGACTGACCTCTGTATGGAAATATTTTTTCCTGTGATCCTCATTTCCAATAGATAAAAAACAAAAAAAGAAAGGAAATCAATATCATCGATATTGAGTGATACAAAAGGCTCATATAATGATATATTTTCAAACATATCATTCATTCCTATTAAGGGTTTTGCATAATTCTCCCTTGATCTTTTACTTCTTACCAGAAATGGCCAGGTTAATCTAAACTGGTTTGTTTCCAGCAAAACACCTATTTTTTAAGTATAACACATAAACAAAAACCTCTAGATTTGGTCTATTCAGTAGGCTTAATGTTAGCTTGTTTTATCAATTCCAAAAATAGTGTGTCTGACATCATAATCCTGCTGAAGCACCCAGTGGTTCCCTAGTTTCAACCAACTGACTGTTGAATTGAGGTGAATTTGAATAATGACATTAAAACAGACCTCAACATGATGCTACCGCCACTGTGCCTGACACTTGGTACAGTGCTCTCAGGCATAAAGCCTCACCTTACTACTGACAACAAATTTATATTCAAACTTGCCAAATGGTTTGGAGTTCTTTCTTGCCTGGCAACCCATTGGCCAATATTGACATTTAATCCACTTTATTGTGGACAAAAACCTTGGAACTTCCTTATAATTCCTGGTTTGTTCTCCAAAATCCTCATCAAATGCTTTACGACCAAGCCTGAAGGCTTTGGGATAGATCAGAGAAACTTTGACCAGGTTGGTGTTTTTATTTCAATCAAATAAATCATAATTTTATAAGAACTTACCAGTTTCTTCCTATATGTTTATGCCCCCACTTCCCTAGACATACAGGAGGCCGTAACACCTCTAAAATTAACATCTCATTTAATTCCTTCAAGCAGCTTCTAGTGCAAAATATTCATATAGTCTTCATAAGAAGAGTGAGCCTGGCAGTTCTTCCTTTACCTATAACTGTTTTTTTGTTTTCTTCGTCCTTCACTTATATATTTCTGAAACCTGAGACCAGATTAATCTGATCTGCAAACATCTGTCATTATTGATGTAAATTACTGTTAATGTTTGGCTGATGTCGGATTTTTTTAACCATTATAGCTAGTTTTCATAATGAATAGATCCAGCTTCAAATGATTTGCCCTCTGTGATTAAAAAAGTTGTCTTAATCTAAATTGCTTTCGATTAAGAAGAAAGAGAAAATGCAACAACCCTCCTTCTTAACTACCAACAGAGGGTTGTATGCATATCTAAATGTATTATATAAATATAGTACAATTCTAATCGGTTTTGATTAGAGAATATTTCCAATAAATGTGAGCTTAAGCCTTAAATTCTTGCAGGTTTTTTTTTTTTTACTTCAGTTGTTTTTTTTGTATAACCCAACCTTTTGTTCTCTCTGTTTACATTTGATCACTGCTACACTCTAAGAAATGGAAATGTCATAAGTGCTGTACAAAAAGAAATTTAGTTTCGTAAACATTATGTGTATACAAAATAACAATAAAGTAGTCTAAGTCTAAGCTCTCTGGTCAGTGCCTGCTGCTTGTTTTAAGTGTGTTGTACACGGCTTGGCAGTCTGAAAAAAAGGTCAGATGAAAAAAAAAAAGTAAACTTAAAGCCTAGATTTAAAACAAAGGGCATATTCATAATTTCTCACACTGAGCCTGGTTCTGCTGGAGGTTTCTTCCTGTTAAAAGGG